ACAGAACTGCGTCAAGCAGAAGCAATTCTATCTTTATCAAGCATCTGGCTAAGTTGTACCCAAACTCGTTAGGGATACGGAGCTGCGGACGAGTGGCAGAATGCAGAATTTTGCGAAATGTTTCAATACCTGAATCTGAACCAATGTAGAATTTCCTCGACCTCCACAGCAATGAAACCGATCGCTGGACTTGACGGACAACTGCGTTCATCTTTACGTCAAGAAGCAAGGCTCTCATCCATAATCAATGCCAGGTATTTTACAGCGGAGCGTTTGCAAACAAGTTGCGTTTAGGCTCTGCTTACACGCCACTGTCATTCATCCGGCTCCTCCACGTCTTGTATGCAAAGGAAGACACAAAGTAATTCAGATCTTGGGATTGTACTGAAGAAGACAGCAATATCGTTAGCGTACCAAGGCATGTATGTGGTGATAGCATCGGATGCAGTGACAGACAGGATTCTTGTGCGACTGACCTCACCTCACTGTCCCCTCCCGGGCGTTTCGTCAGGCGAGCCATATTCTTGCCGATCTGAACAAACTGTCAAAATCTCCAAAAATGCGCAGCCATCAAGAAGGCAATGTAAGACTCCACGCCGATGCTAGCTAACAGTCAGAACAACTGAAGTCTACCACCAGATATCGTAGCAGGAAAAAGTAGTAGTAGCAAGGTGGTTTTAAGTAGGATTATTTTCTTCGCAATAAATTTGTTGATAAACATATGTATTTTCGAAGAAAGATGCTTACTTAAATACAGAAACGCGATGCTCCGACTGATGGTAGTCCTTCGATCGACTACTGGTGAAAGCTACAGCGACAAGACCAACTTGAAGCAGTACTCGTGTTCAAAAAATGCAATTACGTCAATTAGCTATATGTTCATCTGTTCTTTTGTAGTTATTTATAATATTCAATATTAATTGTGCATATACGACCAGGGCTGCATAGTTGCGAAGCGGCGACAGCACATGATGTTCATGATATTTATCAATTATTACTGTAGCTGACAAACGACTGGTTGTGCGAGTCTCTCAGAGGCGCCATAATTCAATACGGCCAGCAATCATCGCTTCTCCCGAATCAGACAGAATGAATACCGATGGTAGCCTGGGAATAAATTCGCTACATACGAGGAGGCCATAACTTCAATGACAACTGCAACAAAGATTCAACTTCGTTACCATGCTAAACCAATGTATGAAAGCCAATATAGACCCAGATAGAAGGATCGAACAGAATCGAACAATGAAGAAATTCTCGAAAGAAATTAAAAACCTGCTAAACGTGCGCAGAAATATGAAAAAACGCTACATATCATGGTTGTAGCTATTGCCTAGAAACATGAAGCAAGAAAGGTAGAGATATAATAAATACGTTTGTGATACGAGTCATAAAAATATAAATGATAAACAAATTCATAAACACTAAAGTGATAACTCATCACCCATCACTCATGATTGATAATTCGCGGGCTAGTGATATATAAATAAAGCTGAAAAAAATATTTCAAGGGGAGATACCGAAGAATGGCGCATATTTTCCACTACTGACAAGCAATGCTCATGTTTCGATTTAACAACTCAAGTTTCGCCGTCGATGTTATCGGCTTTTGGAGCCGGAGGTCTCCTGTCCGGAATTCTTACTCTCGCAGATGCACAGATTTCAGATTCCGCGCTCATCGAAAAATCATTATTGCCATGCATTGACTGATAGAGAAAAGATGAATCAACATACTTGCGACGCAGGACAACGGCAGGCAGACCATGCATTGGGATGGCGGTCAAACGTGCTGACCGACTGGCGTTGAAAAGGAAGCCGAGAGTGAGTGAAGCTGAGGACGAGACGACGTCTGCCGCGTCCATCCAAAGCCAGTTGTTGGATTTGATGGATGCCGCACAACGAACAACAGCTACCGAGGAACGAAACACTTTACTCATCACCATCTCCATCATTTACTCCACTACCACCGGAAACAACTGCAACAAATTTGTCGATTCGGAGGTGGCGGCTGTAAAGAACAAACGATACGATCGCAAGCGATTCCAAACGTGCTTTGGTCCATAGGCCATCAAGCCGTACTTACGACACAAACTATAAAAGCAATGACGGATTTTATTAACGCGCAATATCGAGCCGCCCGAGCAAAAAGCTTCATGAACCTGATTAAAAAGTTTTCCACTTGAAGTTTATGCAAAAACTCATGGCCAGCATCGATGAATGAAGCAACGTTTAAAAAAGAAGCCTTTCATCACCTGTAAGCGAAATGTACAAAAGTCCGCGCGGTTTACTTAAAGCACACAAGAAACGGTATATCGGTCATTGCATCAACAACGTATGAATTAGTCAATCGTCCACACATATGTAGAGCGACAGTCAGTGCTGATAATAACCAACTTGTAAACCATCCAGAACAGGGGGTCATATTTACTCTGAAATGAGGCTCAACAGCCACTTTGTCAAAACTGGATGCAATTTACTCTGTACAATAAAGCGCCATATTCGTCACCGACACAACATGAGGAATTACCGCATGTTCTGACTCGACTGTGCTGTTACGAAACTAAGCCTAAGTCGTAATCAATTTTCGCGTAACAGAGAAGACAATGCGATACACTTAGTAGAACATATGATAAACTAAATATATTACATTTTGAACCATACGGTTTTGCATTATTTCGGATTTATGTATAATAAACATGCTCTGATTGAAGAAATTATGATTTACTAGTCTTAGTTGCAACGAACGAAATAAAAAATTACTTACTTCGTCGCGAAGGTCTTTCGACGGTTCTCCCCACAAACATGTTACAAGTCAGATGCTCCTTTCGGATCACATCTCATCCATCATCAGGGAACACTCTACCATACTAAACGTTAGCAAAATGCTGCAGCATAACGTGTATGCATAATAAACTTAATAAAAGACTTTTTTGAAGGAATAACTCAAATGAATCTTTAAACGATTATTTCGTTACAATGAAGAACTAAACTTCGTCCAGCGTCGCTTTATAAGTAAGGAATGCGGCAAGGGCAAAAAACGAGAGTGACTCGCTTCCCACACCTTCTTAATTGCGTTTATTTGTTCTGCTAATTACTTTTGTGTAAGCAAAACAACCATGGTTTGTCAAGTACGTAGCATTCTTGGCTTTTCAGTATTTTTGCTGTCAGACACCGGTTGCATCGGGTGAAGAACTATCCACGCTGAACGCAGTTCTGACTTTCCATTTACAGTTATAGTCCGCTCCAAGCCGACCACATGATGACATGGAAATGGATATCAGGGTCCCGTCAGATATCGGAAGACCGACATTTCAGCAGTTACAGACTTGTGTTTTTCCCATCATGTTCTTTTTTTTCTTCGTTTTCGACACAAAATCCGAAATTGTCGTTTGATGAATCATCACTAAAGTTGTATACGAATTAGAACTTCTCAGTGGACTTTTCGCTACCGCAGTTTCCCGCCCATAAAGCAGCACTTGCCAGAATGATGGGTTTATAAGCGAGCAACGTGTCACGAGCTTTGTCAGAAGACAGCAAAGTCACGAGATCAAATGGAAAAATGTGCCAGGCAGGAACTCGGCTTCAAAGGAGCTATTCCGTTGTGAAACATCATCGGTGTCGAGTGTCGAACAAGGTGATGTTGCTTTGACCAATACAATGGCAGGAAACGGATTTGTTCACCGCAGCTGATGAAACTCAATGGAATCATGAGCATATTATATTGTTCCTAGAGAGCCACAAGGCTGGTGCAATAAGCCATTAAATAATGTCCTGGACGAGTTAGACACTGGCTGAAGTAAATGCTCTATGCAAAAGTATACACATGCATACAAACGAACGTATCTGCACGGTGCTGTCATTCAGGCCTCCTTTCACGGGAATCATCTGCAACACCGAAATGTTCATTGTCTTCAATATTCACTTCATTCTGGCAGTTTTTCTTATTGCAATCGGACTAGTTCTAGTTCGTTCGTTGGCTGATTGATACCTACAATATTACCGCTACTCTTAAAGCTCCTACAGATTTTATAAATCTCATATAATGCACCTAATGCACCACCCACACAAAGCTATTTCAGCGTTTTTACAAATCTAGGCTTCATATATGCAATTCGCTTAAGTCCCTATCGCTGGCATTATCCTATGAACCCAAGGTTTCAACATGATTGATCAGAGAAATTGTTGTTCTAGGGCTGCTTGGAGATGTTTATAATATTTTTTTGTTTGTGCGTGCTATGTCAAAGGCCCTGTACCAATTATCTGAGGATATGGTAACTACTACTGTCTGTGGTGCGAGTTTTGCGGTTAAGGGCTACGACGTCTGGCCGTGATATGGAGTTCACCATAGGTAGCGCTTCGGTTGTTTAACAGCTGCTATGAATGAGCAGGAGCAACCGAATTACCGTGCTTCCAAGATGAACCAGAATGACAAATGGAGAGAAACGATGGAGGAGCGTCAACTTGCGTTGGTTGCATGCTCACAACGAGGGCACGTTTGATGAAGGGTATGCTTCAGATACTGTGTACTGAATAATCTACGTAATTAGAATTTTCGACACATACAAAATAATTATCAAAATTGCAGAACAAGTACCAGATGGAAAAGTAGCTTGCTTGAAACTTATATTGGCATCCAGGAGCGAGGATTCACTACCATAGGTCCGTAATCTTGGACTCGAACCATTTGTGCTTATTAATTATAGGATACCAAACGTACAAAAAATTTTGTACTGGTGTCTGAAACAGAAGAATTAGTTGCTTCCAGCATTACTTCCTGAAACTTTACTACAGTTAAGCAAAAGAAAACGCAGTTATTTTTACGAATAATGCATGAACATACTTAATCCTCGATTATGATGGTGGTTCGTTCCTTGAATACTAATTTTAAGGTAAAAATTCGTAAATCCTAAATATATATATTATCGCATACGCGATTTCGATGCCGTTGCTAACGGTTGGTCATTTCCAAAAAAGTTGAGGCTTTTATTAGATATTAAGAACTGAAGAATTTATTCGTCACATCCAGAGTAAAATAATGCAATTCTGAAACGAAGCTGGTTTTAATGAGGTTAATGAAGATCACGTTGAAAATGTTTCAATACGTGAAGAACCGATTCAGTCACCGGAATACAAGCCGAAGGAGATCCATGATAACCAATACGAAAGATCAAAAGTTACAGAAGGATAAATGCAGCACTATCTCAAAAAAGAAGCCAACCGGCGAAAAAGAAACATCCCGGAAGCAGTCACGGTTGAACGGACAAAATGCAAGATTAGGAGACAGGAAAAAAACAC